TCAACCTTATCAGCACTTATGATGTATATCATTTTCCTAACTCTGCTTTCATAGAAGAATCAAGAGTAGCATTCTCATTAAAATAACCGGTATGTGATCCTTAGCACAACAAAAACTGCTGCTTATTAATTATTCATCAGCAAAATAAAAATAAATGCATTTTAAAACCTAAATGATCTTAAAACAGACAAATGCTCTCATACTCCTTGCAAGCAAGGCAATGATAGTAATTATAGTAACCTTTGTATTAATATTTATTGCTTTTGTATAGTAGTGCCTCTGAGCCTCTGTCATTTCTCAAGGCAGTATTAATACTATTTGGGATTAGGTGAGAGCCTAAACAGCTTCCTCTGGAATATAATAAACCTTGCTGTATAAAAATTATTTCAAGAAGAGAAATGTTAAAAATGTTAAAGTTCATGCTCACGCTATCCTCCCAAGATTCAAAGAATCAAAGTAAAATGTCCTTAAGCCCAAATCTGTAAACAATGTATAAATTTTTGAATTATGAGGACATACACTGACGGCATATGCCTTATTTTTTGTACCTTATTTGAGAAGATAAACATTCTTGAGTAATGGCAGAACTACAAATTGCTATTGACCCAATTTTTTAAAATACCTTAGTTTTCTATTTAGAGTTGTATAATAGCTTGTCCCCGTTTATTCCGCTGAACATCTGACCTCAAATTATAATTATTCTGCTGAACATCTGACCTCAAAATATAATTATTTTCCTCATTTTTTTCACATAAAGTTATCTTAGCTACAGATACAGTTCTCTTAATAGAATATTTTCTGCTAGAAGAGAATCCATCATCTTTATTACAGTCAAAGCCTTGTTCTACAAAGTCTTTAGGGAGAGGCGCGTTCCCGATTTAGACAGTTAAAGCTTTGCAGGATTAGACTCTGCCCCAAGTGCTAATTCAGGGTCGGGTATTGCATCACCGACGTAAATGAAACTGGGATCAGGCCCCTGTACGCGGATGCTTCTCATCCAGCAGTTATAAAACTCCCTGCAAGAGTGTAAAGTGATACTTGGTGATATGCGTGACAGGCGGTCGTACCTATGTGGGGTGGAGCATCTCTCTATAAATGTTGTAATTTGTGTTTTTGTTTTAACTCAGGAAACAAATACCTGACACGCCTAATGAGCAAGCGTTTGTGTACGCTGCTGGGAAGGAACACGCCTCTGCCCTTGGGAAAGCACCTGCATGCCTTAGTCCTCTCCCTATCGATCCTGAGTGGTGAAGGCATGGCAGATAATTTCCTGGCTGCTTTGAGCTTTAACTCTGTCACTCGGTTTTTGGCTCGCTTGTTCCTGCTGCGGGCGCTTGAGGCTTGTGAGCACGTTGTCCGGAATGAGGACGTCGCGGGGGGGG